TCTCTCTCTCTCTCTCTCTCTCTCTCTCTCTCTCTCTCTCTCTCTCTCTCTCTCTCTCTCTCTCTCTCTCTCTCTCTCTCTCTCGCTCTCTCTCTCTCTCCTTACCTCTCTGCCTCTCTTTATGATTATAGTTAATCTATTTCCCGAAGCACCCATGTTTCCAAATCCGCTTGGTTTTGTTCATAGTCCTACGAATAACGACTTTAAGTTCCCCCTCCATTGTCCAGCATTTTCACCACTAATCCACAGTCACAAAACATTTCCAAATCCACAAGCCACTCGCCACGCCATCCACCATCCCAGTCCAATCCACCTGCTCGTCTACAGACTGGTGAAGCAACTGCAGAAGCACGTAACAGTTGATATTTACGGGGCCTGTGGGACTCTCACCTGCATCCGGGGAAAGTCGAATTGTGGGGGCATGTTGGAGCAGAAGTACTACTTCTACCTCGCCCTCGAGAACTCCCTTTGCGAAGACTACATCACCGAGAAGCTTTATTATACCTTGAGGTTTGTTTGAGTGAGTCGTGTCTGGAGTGTTGCTCAGGGAATGGGCATCGTGTGATATACACCACAGAAAAGTTTGCAAAAGATATTATCATTTACATTATATTTATTATTATTATTATTATTATTATTATTATTATTATTATTATTATCATTATCATTATTATTATTATTATTATCATTATCATTATCATCATTACCATCATGTATCTGAATAATTTTTCTGAAATTATCTCACTATGGCCATCTAGAACGTGATTGATAAGCCTTGTATAAGAGTATGGCAGGACTAAGATTTTTTATATTTAATATATATCATATATATATATATATATATATATATATATATATATATATATATATATATATATATATATATATATATATTCCTCAGAATTCTGTAGTATAATGAGAATGAATGTCCTGTATGAATAGCAGAAACCTTAACAGAATACTAGAGTGAAACGGTTTTTCACAATCAAACTGTTATTTACGATACAGGTTTATACAAAGACTAGAGGTTCTCAGGCAATTTGGCAACACGCAAAAAAGTTCCCTGGACTCTTTCCTCCATTAATATACGAAGACAAACATATCATACACATATACAGCTTTCACATTCTATTGAAAATGTAGAAACCTATAAAATACACTAATTACTAGGAGGCTTCAGGTTATGATAGCAGTCTACTTTTTCGGAAGTTTGAGACTAAAATGACTTTAATTTCAAGGACAAGAAATGTGCATCTGCAAACTACCATGCAACACACAGGGAAAGCAATCACGTGCATAGGTTGAGTCTTCTGCTCTATAGTTAGATGTTACATAGTTAGAGTCTGTTATATACTGAGGTGTCTGATTGAACTTTACTTTATCAATATCTTATAATTTTTATTCTTTGTATCATTATTATTTTTTTACATCAATTAATTCAAGTTAATCTGTTCTTTTTTTCTTTTTGCTACACGCATGCCCACAGCTTAAATCAAAAGAATGCCATGCAAAAGCTGCACAAAGCATGGGAGTAATAATAGAATAAAAAAATATATATTATAAAACAAGATTTATTAATCAGTGCATATAAATAACATGATAATGATAATGATCATGCATAATAATAATATGATAATAATAATAACAATACATAACAATGAAAATCAATGAGAATATCCTAAAAGCAACATAATAAGAATAATAAACAAAAATAAATAACAGCAAAACTGAAAAAGCCTCGTGTTTCACCCACGACGCGTCTCCCCAGGAACTACGTGGTGCCCGTCGTGTGGGGCCTCGGCAACTACGTCAGGAACGCCCCCCCGCACTCGGTCATCAACGCCCTTGCCTTCCCCAACGTGACAGCTCTGGCAAACTATCTGATCTATTTGAAGAACAACCACACGGCTTATTATGAATATTTCTTGTGAGTTTAGGTTGCTGAGCATTTTGTGTAATGTTGTTTTTGCAATATGATATGGATAATATTCCAGTACAGCCGGCGTAGGTTTAAAGATAGCTTAAGTAATCAATAAAGTGTACGGAATTATATCCATAAATACGCATGATATGTAATCTCGAGGCTTGTCGGTGTAATAAGATAAACAAAGAGTAATAAAATCAATTTAAATCTCGTCGCTAAAGATGGAAATAATAATAACTAGAAAAGCACTCAGAGAGTGCAGACCTCCGCCAAGGTTCGTATATAATGCACTTACATCGCTGCTGCGTCCAGACGGTAATTCGGAATGTCAGTGAAATGTGGTACACGTTTACCGTAGATTTGTGTACTTTATTGATTAATTAATGATAATAATAATAATAACCAGATGGTAATTCGGAATGTCACCAAAATTTAATCAGTTCTAAGTTAGTCCCTTTCTGACTTGTCCCCAAAAATTCGATGAAATCCGGCCAGCTAGGCTGCTAACAAACAAACTAACCAACAAACCAATGCCGTCAAAAACATAACCTCCTTGGCGGAGGTAATAACAATGATGAATAATAAATAATACTGTTAACATGACAGATGGAAAGAGAATTACAAGCCGGTCATTCGCGGGGACATCCTGAAGAACGCCATGTGTGACATCTGCGAACGCCTTCACACCGACAACACCACGAAGGTCTACAAGGACATCCACTGGTGGTTCTCCCCCGAGAGGCAGTGCCTGACCATCGACAACCCCAAAATTGCAGCGTTCTTAGGCCGACGGGTCCCCACTTGACCTTCTTCTGCTGTGGCCATCTTCACCCTGCGGTCGCCAGCCCTTTCTTCCTTCGGATTGGCAAGCCTTCTCTCCTGGAGTTGGCAAGATTCTTCTCTGAGTTTGGCAAGCCTTCTTTCCTGGGATTGCCAAGTATCTTACCTAAGAGTCACCAAGCCTGTGTTCTGGATTAGAATAGTATTTTAGAAGGAAAGTTTCCGTGCATCTACAGTTTTGTTCTTGATTAGTAAAACAGAATTACAAACAATTTTATTTTTGCCCTTTTAAAGAATCTCATAGGTCCCTCTTATGGTGCATGTATTAAGGCATCTTCTATACACATCATAAAAGTTAACTCCGGATGAAAGTTTAATCCAAATCCACAGTACTTGCACAGAACATGCAAGACACACTGCTAGGCGCACGAGTCAGTGCGATTTACAGTGAATCTGCTGTTTTACATGAAAAAGCTGTTATCTGTGTAGTGCCAGTTAGCATTCACCCTCTACAAGTTTCATACCATAGGCTAATGTTGATAGCGAAATGTTATCATGCCAATATATATCTGTGTCGATAGTAGAAAAACAACATAAATGGCTTCAAGTAGCCTATACATATAGTAAATAACCAAAATGAAGATGTCCAACAAAAAATGGAATAGCAGAGCACTTGCAGGGTAGCTTTTTCAGGATGTTGCTTGCAAAGATCATGATGAATATCCACACAATTTTGAAGGAACTATGGTTTAAAGAATCAGGAAGTTTGTTCTTTGAATATGAAACCTAATCATGATGTTAAGAGCTTCCTTTTTTATTTGATTAATATTCTGCATAAATTGGGAATGTTTTTCCAACCTGGAAATAACATTGATTTTTCTGTGTCTGTAACTCTAGAATTTTCTGTGGGATTTTCTTTTCATTTTTCTTTTCAATGTTGAGAGTTTTACCTGCAGTTTGAATATCTTACAACTTATCAAAATGCATATTGTTGAATTTTTCACATACATCTTTGATATGAAAATATCAGAATTTGCTTTGTTATTACATATTATAATTACAATGGCAACTCAACTCCATCTTTTCTATTGAGTTAATAACGATGTCATTACGTATTAGTGCAAGATCGATGAGATTAAGTAGCTCGTTCTGTGCATGTGCAAGATTAAACTTTGAGCTCAAAAGTAAATCCTGGTCCGGAGGTGAATTAAAAGTTAATCTTGAACACTGTCATTGCGCATGCGCATTAGATATCAGAATTAAACTTTAATACTGAATTCATTTTACAAAAATTACTTTACTACTAGGGTCTTCACCCATTAATATTTATGAAACCAATGGGAGCACGACCATATCGAGGAAAAAAAGAGCTGCTGCCTTTTTTAATTGTAAAACTGTATAAGCCTGCATTTGTGTTTTCAGAAGTAAATTTATTCTATTATCATCTACATGTCAAGATCGTCATTACTTTCATTACCATTAGCATTGTTGTTGTTATCATCATTATCATTACCATTAGCATTGTTGTTGTTATCATCATTATCATTACCATTATCAATATCATCATATTTTTTTTACTGTTGTTATTATCATTATTATTATTGTCATTATTATTATTATTATTATCATTTTAGATATTTAGATACTGATTATCATTATTAATATTATTACTATTATGATTATTGATGTGATTATTATTATTACTATTGACGTTATTGTGACCATTATTACTACTATTATCATTATCATTATTATTATGATCATTATTATTATCATTATCATTGTTGTTATCATCACGATTATTGCTGTTATTATTATCATTACCATTATCATTATTGTTGTCATCATTATTATTTTTTTCACTATTATCATTAATTGTTACAATTCTTATTAGTTTTATCATTATTATTATTATAATTGTTGTTATTGTTATTATTACTACTACTATTATTATTATTATCATTTTATTATTATCATTATTATTATCATTATCATTATTATTATTATTGTTATTTTTGTTATTATCATTATCATTATCACTATTTATATTATTATTATTATTATTATTATTATTATTATGATGATGATGATGATGATGATGATGATGATGATTAATATTGCTATAGTTATTATCGTTATTATTATCATTATTGTTATTAACAATATTATCATTATCGTCATTATTATCATCATCATTATTATCAATATTATTATTACTACTACTTATTATTACTACTACATGATTATTGCCATTATCATGTTCATTATGATCATCATCAAAATCATCGCCATCGTC